GGTGTCCGAGCAGGCGCAGATACCTAGGAACTAGTACCGTTCTCTTGCTCAACAAGTTGTCTCGGCTTTATAATTAACGTTGAACGGATTTTTGACATTTCCTTAGGGGCTTTTAGAAAAGCTTGCCAGGGTTATCCTTCATCTTCTTATAAGTTTTTTATACAGATCTTCAAGGGTTCAGCATGTCCAGAGAGAGTCGAACACCCTTACTTGCGGAATAGCCCTTCGACTACATGACAATCACAATTTTAGGGCTTCCTCTTGAGTTGAAGATACCTTAGTAATAGTTCTAGGGCTTCTTATGTTCTCTTATTATGATTTAGGTAGGGCTCGTTGGGTAAGGGGTATTGGGCGCTGAGGGGATGATGAATCCCTGAAGGTGCGTAGAGTTCTTGTCCTTTTGCAGGCTAGGGTTGGGTTCAGGGTTTAGGGTGAGGGTTCAGGGTTTAGGGTTTAGGGTTTAGGGTGAGGGACCATGGTTTAGGGTCAGGGTCTAGGGTGAGGGTTCCGGCAGTACAGACACAGCGGTTTTCAATGAAGAAGCAGCAGGTCGATAAAGATACTTTCCTTCAGTTGTTCCTATTTAAGCGCATCCCACTCGAAACCCTGAGCCCTGAACCCTAAACCCTAAACCGTAGCCCTAACACCTAAAGCCTAAACCGTAAACGCTGAACCCTGAACCCTAAACCCTAAACCCTGAACCCTGAACCCTAAACGCTGAACCCTGAACCCTAAGCGCTGAACCCTGAACCCTGAACCCTGAACCCTGAAACCCTGAATCCTAAACAAAGCAGCTCAAGACCCGAGCAGGTCATGCGGCTTCTGGCAGCCAAGGCCAGAGTTCTCTTTGCTTTTCGTTTGAGGGTTTAGGGATTTCAAGGTTTAGGGGTTTCAAGGTTTAGGGTTTGGGTTGAGGGATTCCAAGGTTTAGGGTTTAGGGTTTAGGGTTTAGGTTAAGGAATTTCAAGGTTTAGGGGTTTCAAGGTTTGGGGTTTATAGCGTTTAGGGTTTAGATTAAGGAATTTCAAGGTTTAGCGGTTTCAAGGTTTAGGGTGTGGGGTATCTAGTGGGTTTGACGACCCGCAGACCTTAAACCCTCGATCCAAGATCCCGAGCTGAACCCGACATCCCTGCGCATCCCAGCTGTAGCTCAGGGACTTGTACTGTTGTGTATAGGGGTGGTTGTCAAAATTATGGTCCCTTTTTGTCCTTATTATAATACGGCACCTATTATTTAGGGTACCCCAAAAGGGACCATAATTTTGACAACTACCCATAGAGCTCTTTAAGGTTTTGGGAGTTGCAAAGCTTCAGAGTTGCAGGTTCGCGGTGCTTTGCAGCCTCGGGCATAGCGCTTACGTAAACCCTCTGTTAGATTGCAATGCTGACAGTAACCCTTGAAGAAAAGAAACCCCGCATCGTAACCAAGAACCGTCGGAGTGACCCCATTGGGGGTTTCCGAAAATTGGGGGTGCCTTATTTTGGGGTCCTTATAATAAGGATCCTATTATTTAGGGTACTATATTTGGGTCCCCTATTTTCGGAAACCCCCAATTCAGTCCGGCCAGACCTCAGGCTTTTAATTTTGGGTTTAGGGTTGAGGGTTTAGGGTTTCATTTTGGGTTTAGGGTTTCTGGTTTAGGGTTTAGGGTTTAGGGTTCGGATGAGGGATTTGTGCCTGAGGGTTATTCGAGGTACAAAACCAGGAAAGCACAAAAAAGGCAACGCCAACCTAAGCGTAAGAGCCCAACAGCTGAACCCTCAACCACAGAAGATGACCCCTGCAACTGAAAGCATCACGATGGTGCGCGGCTTATAGTTTGCAAGCAGGGGTTGTGTCGGGCTTTGTCGAAGTTTCAGGAAGTTCAGAAACTGAATCTGATAGCGCCAGTGAATCCTCAAGTAGTACAGAAGCCTGAATAATGAGCAATCTTATTCCTTACAGTACCTTATGGTTATGGCTGTAGGATAGTATATCCCAAAAACCCTATTCTATTGACAGGGAGCCAGGGACTCTTTTGGAACCGTTTTTTGGAACCTGTTTAAGGAACTCTTTTAGGGAGCCCCATATCACTGAGGAACCCTTTAAAGACCCACGTTTCAGGAACCCTTTTTAAGGAGCCCTCTGTTTCAGGAACTGTGGAACCCTAAACCCTGAACCCTGAACTCTGAAACCTGAACCCTGAACCCTAAACCCTATAAACCCAACCTAAACCCTAAACCCTAAACCCTGAACCCTGAACCCTAAACCCTAAACCCGAAACCCTGAACCCTGAACCCTAAACCCTCAACCCTAAGCCCCAAAGCCTCGGAGCCCTCTACCCTAAACCCTAAGCCCCAAAGCCTCGGAGCCCTTAAGCTCCCCTGCTTAGAGGCGCTAAAGGAGCTCGGCTTCTTTGAGCCGCTGCCGCCCGGCATCCCGAGCTCGCTCCCACTGCTGCCGGAGCCCGGGGGGCGGGTTTAGGGGTTCCGTAAAGTATTAGGGTTTTAGGGTTTAGGG